AAGAAAGGATTTAGCTCTTGGCATTTTTGTTCTCATGTACATATCTGTTACTATAAATAAAGGATCGATTTTTCCCTCCTCGTTTAAGTTTTAGGGTCAATTGCAGATAGACCATGGTGCTATTGCCCAACTGTGGATGGACCTCTGAGTAAAAATTTTTGCACCCTTGGGATGTCTTCTTGTCAGAAAACTAATTTCTCTTTCTTGAAGTCTAAAAGGGTCATAAAAAGATTTACTCACGGGTCTATCTGCAATAATGGAATTAAACGAGTACTATCCACAAATGGCGACGATATAGGGGGTCCATGTGCAATAATAGAATTACACAAGTCCTATCTGCAATTGGGCGCTAGTACAAGGGGTCTATCTGCGATTAACCCTTAGTTTTGTTTATGTCTATGTCCAAAATGGCTGCCTCGTTCCTCATCATCATAGGATTAGTTTTATGCACGTGTTGTAACTTAAAAAGTTGTCTCAGATATGATGTTTGTTATCTGCACTTCACAAACAGCTGTGTAGGTGGGACTTGGTAAAATGAACTCGAAGACTTCATTCTTTGTGTTCTTCTTCTTCTTCTTCTTCTTCTTCTTCTTCTTCTTCTCTCTCTCTCTCTCTCTCTCTCTCTCTCTCTCTCTCTCTCTCTCTTTGAATTCTATAATTTGAATTTGCCCTGTTTGGGAACGAATGGACATACGAAGTATGCATATTTACCATTTATCTTTTGAAAGTGTCTCCGCCGAAATGCCAACTTGATCATTTTGAATTATAGCTTATATAACAGTTACAACTTCTTCTATCATCAATGCAAGATTTCCATATATTTTGTGCGTTTATTCTCCTCATCTCCTGTTAGAATTAAGAGATTATATAATTATTCACTTTATCTCCTACTAGAATTGGGATATCATATGGTCTTTCTCTTTCTGTACAAAAAGAAGCTAGGAGCAGGATTCTTTGGTCCTGACTAGTTTCATAGAATTATCATAGGCCATGTTTGTTTTTTTTTTTATCTAGGGACTAGGGGGTATTGTAATTCTCGGATTATAGTCCAGGGATTGTGTTATCCTGAGGTAATTTTAGTCTAGTTGAATATTTGTTTTCATACGGACTAACATTTGGACTCACTCAAAATAGTTCAAACCCGTGTTTGTTTTAGGGGGTTATGACCAATGTGACAGATATCATAACCAAAATTACTTTATTATCCTCTAATCAACTAATATTGTATTAATGCATCTGTTTGACAAAAAAATAAAAATTGTAATATGATTTTGTTTACAAAATATATATACCAAGCTATACCTATCATGAAACAAATAAACAACCCCATTTTAATATAATCTTGTTAGTTTACTATGCTGGAATATGCATTGTTAATTTAGTTAATGTTGAATAATTTATTCTTTCATTTTAGCATAATGGCCTTCGGCATGAGCCTATAGAAACATAGATCAACCATAGGCTAATTTTGATATCAAGAGAATCAGCCACCGTTACTTGTTCTCTAGCATCATTTGCATCTCTCAAGGGGGCAAAAATAGTGTTTTTTTTACTATTCGTTGGAAAGGAAAACAAAAAATATTTGTGGGATATGATCACAGCTCGCGGAAATTAATAGCTTGCAGGAAAAAAATGAAAAATAAAAGTTTTGAGAAAAAGATTTTGAAAGGATTTGATCTGGAATTCTGTCACACCTCGGGCCCATGGGCTCGTTGACGCGTGCAAATCGTGGGACCCACCGAGAGCAACTCGATGTTGGTTAAAGTCTACTGTCAAAATGCTAACACTAGTTATTCTTGGGCATTGAGCTTCTCTATTTAAGCCCCACACAATGTAGCACTTAGCCCCGTATAACACTTAGCTCCATACTTCCGGTTGGCAACTGCTTTGATACAATTTGTCACGTCCCTAGCCCACGGGCCTGTTGGCGCGTGCAAGCCGTGAGACCCACGAGAGTAACTCGATGTTAGCGAAAGTCCACTGTCAAAATACTAGCACTAATTATTCTTGGGCCTTGGGCTTATCTATTTAAGCCACTAATATTTCTACACACTAGTCCATGTAGGACTAAAGTTGGGGTCAACTGTCAAAATGCTAGCACTAGTTATTTTTAGGTCTTAGACTTCTCTATTTAAGCCACTAATATTTCTTCACACTGGTCTATGTGGGACTAAAGTGGGGGTGTCACAATGCAAGCAGCGGGACCCACCGAGAGCAACTCGATGTTGGCGAAAGTTCACTGCCAAAATGCTAGCACTAGTTGTTCTTGGACATCGGGCTTCTCTATCTAAGCCACTAATATTTCTACACACTAGTCCATATGGGACTAAAGTGGAGTTGTCACAAATTCCTCCAAAAGATTAAGGGAAATCTTCACCGAGAATCTTAATGCGAACCGGTATATAATACTTTAACTATAAAGATAGGGGTAGGTGGGTTCCAATTAGTTGCATAATCCCTTCTTAATATAGTCCTTGTCCAATAAGAAAAACAAACATTTAGAACATGTTTGAATTTGTAGGGGGTGAAGGGAAGTTAAGGGAAACTAGGTGAGAGAATGGAAGGGAAGGGAAGGGAGTTCCCTTCCCCTTGGTTACACCTTAATTTTGGGGGTAACAAATTTTATACTATTAGGGGGTGAACCAAGGGGAACTAGGGTGAATAACTCCACCTCCTAAATGTTCCCAAACAAAGTGAATGGAGGTGAATGGTTCCCCTAACTTCCCTTCACCCTTATTCCCCTCAATCCAAACAAGCCCTTAATAAAAGGGTGGGACTGGATTATTTTAAAATAATACCCGGACTATGAAAAAACAAACATGCCCTATGATAAATTGGCGTGCTTCAATCCAAACTTTCATAATATTTTTAAAACTATTATAGTGTTAATTATTTTTATAGTAGTTACAAAATTAGTTATAACAATTATAATAAAGGGGGAAATCAAGGGTGAAAAAAAAACCACTTGGATCATAGTTTTCTTGCTTCCTTAGGTACTCTTGCTTCCTTAAATGCTCTCATCTTCGACCAACTTCCCTCCACCCTCGTCCACCTCTGCTCCCCTCCGCTTCAATTTTTCTCCACCTCCGTGTTCAGTTGTGTCCTCCTCTTTTGCCTTCTTCCCCTCTGCTACACTTCCACTCTCCATATCGAGACTTCTAGACTTGTGAGGTTTCTGGGCCCTCCACCCTCGTCCACCTCTGCTCCCCTCCGCTTCAATTTTTCTCCACCTCCGTGTTCAGTTGTGTCCTCCTCTTTTGCCTTCTTCCCCTCTGCTACACTTCCACTCTCCATATCGAGACTTCTAGACTTGTGAGGTTTCTGGG